TACTAGATAGAAATATTTTAGTCATAGATTAAAATTATTGATTAAATAAAGTATTAGCATGATTGCTGAAAAAAAAAGAATAAATAGAAAATATTATAATAAGAATATATTTAGGATATTAACAATTGTACTAGAATTTTATTTTATATTATATTATTATTTTTTGTTTTTTGACTATTTTTTTTAAAGACAAATAGATTAAATTTAGAAAAATATTTTAAATATTCATAAAAAAATAGGAAAATATTTTTTAAATTATATAAATTATAAAATTTAATTTAAAAATAAATTTTCAATCTCTTAAAAATCTTTATCTAAAAATAATATATAGTTTTAAATTCAATTTGATGAGTATTTAGTTCAGTAGTAATATAAGCAAAATGCAAATAAATATATATATTATTAAATATACTCAATTAATAATATCTTTTATTTTAGTATCTTGTCTTTTGCAGTAGTATTATAATAGATTCAAGACTATAATAATACTACTTAAACAATATTTTATTCAAAATTAAATACAAAGAGTTTGATTTATATCTCTTGTAAAATAAGTAGAGAAAATTTTATAATCTAAAAAAACTTATTTAAATTGCTATAATAGTTTTATCTTTTCATTAAAATAGTACTATTTAATTTTCTATTTTAAATCATATAAAAAATCTGTAAAATGCAATTTTTTTGTTATTATTATAGCTACAGTTTAAATTTTAGTAGTGATTATAATCTTTATATAAGGTAATTATGAGCAGTTTTTGAGTAGATTAAGTAATAAAAGATATAAATATATGTTATTTATATTATATTAATTAAATTAAAATTAGGCATGTCAAAACATTTATTATTTCACAATTATATAAAAGTTTCAAATAGCTAAGTTGATTTAATTAGTATTAATTTTTATTTATAAAATTAATGTTAATACAAAACTTAAGCAACTATTAAAGAAATTTTATTCTTTGAACTGATTATATTAGAATTAGATAGATACTTGTCTTAAATAGGTCAGATTAGATATTTAAGTAGGTTTAATAATTCTACCTATATCTCTTTATTATTATTGTAAAGAATTTTAATAAAAATCAGTATATATTAACCAATCAAATTTCTAGTTAGATTTCATTAATAGTTTTAAGATATCATTTTCAAAACAAAATACTTTTAAGATTTTGGACTTTAGAGAAGAAATATATTGTCACTAGAGAATTATAGTAAGTTAGTTGCTAGACTATCTAAAATCTTGCATAACTTACAAATAGTCTAGTCAAAAGAAAACATTTAGATTTGGTTAGTAGGTTATATTCATAGATAAGTTCTCTATAATTTTCTTAGTGATTATGCCTTAAGATATTCTTTCACTAATACTAATCTTTTATTTATTTTAAAAAGAACCTTATAGAGACTTTATTCTTAGAGATTTGAACAACTAGGATACTACTATACATCATGTATTCTAAATTCAAGACTACAATTACCTCTATATATCAGGCAATTGGACAAATAGTTCAACCACAACTAACCACAATCTGTTAGGTTAGTTGAACAAAAATACTACAGTTAGTCTTGGTATATTAAGACTTAACTAGAACAGTTATAGGGTATATATCATATGAACAAGTTAACAAGGATCTTACTATTAGTTACATTAAATAGTAGATCAGGGTTTAAGGATTAGTTTAGTAAAAGAAGGTTATTCAAGATTTATAATATATTATTTATTCAATAAAGAACTTAATTTACTAAGCAAAACTTAAGAAAGTTATTCTCCCTCAATAGGCCAACATGGCTTTTATTTATAATATAAAATTTACAAGCAGTTTATTACATTTATGCCTTTTACCCTATATCTACACTAAATCTAATATATTGCATTTACTTAATAAATCGCATAAGTGTAATATATGCAATATATCATTTAAATATGATAAATATGATATATGCGATATATGCAAAATATGGCATATTGTTAGAGTTTTAGTTTGTGTAAAGGCTGTGTGAGGCTCAAGTGATAGCACAAAGCCTCTAACAGATCAAGCCTCTTAAGATCGTAAAATGTATAAAAGCACAGGCTGTCTCATTTTAATAAAGGAGAGAAGTTAACGTCCTTCTTGATAAAGTAACATAAAACATTGATCTGCTTTTTCTTTATTCCCAACTATTATTAATGCTTGAATTCTACCTAGTTAAGTGAGATGTCATTGCGTCCTAACCACGTTAACTATTGGAGCTAAACCATGTACTGTTACTCGCTCTCCTAATTTACAATAGTAATATATGGTGCCAGTTGTGTGAATAGATGAATGGATGGATATTTCATTTCATGCCTTCATCACTGTTAAAGACCTGAAGCGATGAATATTTACCATAACTTCAGGAAAATAATGAAAGGCCCTGAAATTACAAGACGAACACCCACCTAATTGATACTAACCCAATACTTCCGATTGATACACCTACTAAAAAAAAAAAAAAAAAATTACTTAAACCAGAGACAGTTGGCAGTTACTCATCTTGCTTGGAAGTAGCCACTTTACATCTAAGCCCAAGGAAAAATTTGAGTTTAGAATATAAAAGCTCTACTTACATATCTAAGCCAAATCCAAACCGAGTTCAAGCCAAACCCAAGCCGAGTTCAAGCCAAATCCAAGCCGAGTTCAAGCTGAGTCCAAGCCAACAAATAAATACTGAGCCTGAGACTACGTCTCAGAATAAAGAAACCAAGAGTGCTGCTGATATTACGATTGATACCTAGGATCTGATAGGCATGTAACGAAGACTTATTCCTATGGACGTGACAATAGTCAAAGGATGGTCACGACAGTTATATGCGGGTGCGGGGCATATAACATAAAGATCTCTAACATTTGGTCTTGCTTCCATCATTGGCCAAGAAGTAAGGAAGACGAATTAAATTGGTAGAACATTAGAAAAGGTCTGTCTTATTTGAGTCGAGTTGATTTTGAAATTCTAATTTGGAGTGAGTTTGGGATGACATGAGATATGCTCATGACTGGCAATACACAGATGCGCCGACGATTAGGCAGTGATTGCAGTATGAGATACTATGTCTATAAATTTGTTATAAATTAGAACGATATTGACATTTTGTTTAAATAAGTAGTTATTTTCTTGAGTTGTATTTTTTTTAATTCATAATACTTAGTTTAAGGCTCGCAGGGGCTCGCCTTCAAGAGGGGGAATATGTTAGAGTTTTAGTTTGTGTAAAGGCTGTGTGAGGCTCAAGTGATAGCACGAAGCCTCTAACAGGTCAAGCCTCTTAAGATCGTAAAATGTATAAAAGCACAGGCTGTCTCATTTTAATAAAGGAGTGGAGTTAACGTCCTTCTTGATAAAGTAACATAAAACATTGATCTGCCTTTCCTTTATTCCCAACTATTATTAATGCTTGAATCCTACCTGGTTAAGTGAGATGTCATCGCGTCCTAACCACGTTAACTATTGGAGCTAAACCGTGCACTGTTACTCGCTCTCCCAATTTACAATAGTAACAATATATGCAATTTATGCCGTTTATGCATTATTATGCCATTTACCCATGTGATTTGTGATCACGTTAGGGTTCCGGCCTGGTTCGGACTTAATTTTCGGAGCTCACAATATATATAATTTAAAAATATAAAATAATAAAATTTTTTTGTTATAATAAATAATATCTGTTGTATTGAAAGATATAGGTGTTAAATTAGAAGCGAAAACTGTCTTGTTTTACAAAACATATAGATCGTCATATTATTTCATATGTGCTGCAACTAATTGAATCATTACCCTGAAAATTTTCTGACATTTCACTTGACCGATACGGTTTTCTGGATCCAACATCAACTTTTATCCGCAGTCGAATGTATTTACAGTGGATCCGTATCATTTTACCGACAATCATTTCATCATTTAGCTGACATCACGCCAAGTGACAATTTACTAAAAATATATATTTGAAACTAACCCTAACCACAAGTGATGTCGGCTAAATGAACTTTCGGTGAAATGACTGTCGGTGAAGTGAGCGGAAAGTCTACGGACGAATAATTAATATGATCACGTGCCAGATCTTGGCAAAGATCCACGTGATTAACATCATTTTTATGTGCAATTGTACGTGTATAATTTTTTCTTGATTTTGTTGTTCTTAAAGAAAATGCCCAAAAAACAAGGTATAATGAACTATTCACACTTTTATATCAACTGACCTCTTTTGACATTCTATTTGATTAAAAAAATATATATAGTCAAACGCAAAGAAAAGAAACCAAAGAAAAAGGTGGCATGGAGTGAGGAAGATGAGGTAAGCAATTTTCTCCAGTTATCAAAGAAAATCACTTATTTAAGCTTGAACTTTTCCCTTTCGATAATAGACACATCGCCAGGCACCCATCAATTGTGCTGAGGCATACGCTAAAGCTCAACAGGAAGTTCTCTCTATTCCGGGTACTTCAGTCATCGAAGACATCCAATATGCAATGTCTCTTCTCTACAAGCAATATAAGGCTGAAACCTGGCCAGATAAGTTCAAGCAAAAACACGATCTGTCACGTGCCGAGTCTCCAACAAAGTAAGGTCAATTGTCCTTTTGTTTGTCTTTTTACCTTTACTTTAATTTTGCATATTTACTAGGGAAGCCTTAGTTGCGGCCAGAATCCTTGAAGAATACTCAAACTTAACAACAGTTTTGCATCAAGAGCTTAATTACGATTTTTACTGGGCCGTTAATGAAACCGGAAAAATTCTTGGGAAGGCTACAGGAGAAGAATATGATGATGATGATCTTGAAGAATGCGACTCTATGGAAGGTTTGTACACCACGAAAAGTGTATGTCTATCGATTATAACATTAAAGATAACATCATAATAAGAATATTATATCAACAAATTAGTCGAAAATAAATAGGTCTATGATTATACGCCATCATTCGTGCCTCCACAGCACATGAATATGATGTTCCTAAAAAAAACATAACGACTTTGAAAGAAGTGCAGATGCTATCTTTAACTTTGATTACTCGTAATTTCATTTATAATAAACATTGATGGCATCATCCATTTCGAATTTAATATCAATTGTGTAATTTTTTAACTAGTGTATTCCTGTATGCAATGTGTATAATAATATTTCCTGATTCAGATTTTTCATTGCAACGAAGACATCGTGATTAGGGTTCCAAACCGGTTGGAAAATCTCTACCCGTGACCCGTCGGGTCAACCGTCTTTACCAACCGGGTACCC